AGTTAAATTGAAGACTCTAAACTGTCCTGTGTGTCACATGAATGTGTGTCATTTGTGTCTCTATACATCAGCCCTGTGATAGACTGGCACCCTGTCCAGGGTGTACCGCGCCCTCACCTATTGTCAGATGGGATTGGCTCCACCCCCCTCTGCAACCAAAAAAGGATAAGTGGTATGAGCAATGAATGAATGATAAAATGTGTTAATTAGTGAGTTTTAAGGGCGCTAATAAGCAGATTTTAACCTTGGACCAGGCTAAACTGTCTTTATGCTAAAATAAACTGGCTGTAGCCTCATATTTAACAGGCACATTTGAGACTGGTGTTTATCTTCTCAATCCAACTCTGCAAGAATGCAAATGAGCAAAAATTGTCCTTTAACCCCAACCAACCCACCAGTCTCAAAATTAACTACTAATGCAGGTATCGCCTCAACACCCCACTACTCAGTTGCTCTGGTCCTCACCTGAACTCTGTCTTGACCAGCTGAACCTGGTCTTTACATTGTTTAGAATTCAACTAACATAGTGTTGACATTTCAGAGCTGTTCTCCTTTCATTCCTGAGCTCCTATCAGCTCTCAACAACAGCCAGAAACCATCTCTCTCTGAATTCCACATCTGTACAATCTTGCTAACATTCATTCAGATCTCCACATATCCCTCCATTCACAGTCTAAGCTCAGCTATGTCTAGGTTACACAACTCATACTCAACAGCTGAAGGGTCTTGTTGTGTGTATGCGCTGCATGTGTACATGTTTTATCCTCAGCCCATGCAGGATACAAGCTTAAATGGAGAGATTAACTAATCTCGTTAATGCAGCCTTGACAGGTCTAAGCTGTAATGACATAAGATGTGTCTTACCACTTCTTCATGCAATATTTGATCTTTCCCAGCAGGCTTGTTCCACCACAGCCCTTCTTATGATGTGTGTCCAGCAAACTTGTACAATGCACCTGCAACATGTGACATTCATGTTTATGTCTTTTGGAATTTGTAGCTTCTACACAGCAACATGCACATTTGAAGCATTGTCTGCGATGGCTACAATTATGATGTATAAAAATCTATTTGATCAAAATCAGCTGACTGACTGACTGACTGACTGACTGACTGCATGATAGAGTGAGGGATAGAAGTGAGTGATGAAGTTACACTTGAGTCATGAAGTTACACTACTGGTCAGCGGGCTGAGTGTTGAAATTTCCCCATTGGCTGTTGCTCTTCAATATGAATTGGCACAAACAGTCTCTATTGGGGTGATGTTTACACTGTGCAGTGTTGCCAACTTAGTGCATTTGTTGGCAGATTTTGAGAATTTCTTTTCTCATTTCATTTCTGCATCGTCTCTGTTCAGTGAGTAGTAGAGCAGTGCACTGTGAGAGGCAAAATGTCTCCCTCAAAAAGTTAACATGTTGTCTTAATAGGCCGAGTTTCAGTCGGTATTTCAAACTTGTTCCGTTGTCTGACAACATGAACAGAAAAACATGTAAGTGAGAACAGCTCTGTTGTGAATTCAGCTGTATTATATGACAGTATATGTGAGCACAGAGAGGAGGAGAGAAGCAAACAGATAAGGAGCTGAATCCAGCTGACACTTGCCAGAATGATGTCAGTGTTTTACAGCAGTTCCACAACAGTTTTCAACTACATCCTCGATTTCACACATTGACCATAAAGTCCAGCCATTTACAAGGTTTTGACCTAGTCTAGTGTTTAATTTCCATAATTTTCAGAATAAAAGCTCTGTGGTTGTCCTGTACATGAGATATTTGCTTCCATGTTCAGATTGCTGTAATACAAGGAGGGAAACGCAACAAAAACAATAATTTCTTAAGGCTGATATTGGCTTTAATTATAACTTAAGTTATTATCCCACTGAAGCAGGCATATTAAGCAAGACATTGTCAGCTTCTCTATACTTTTTAGCTCATTTGTGTTTGATGGTCTGTTAGTCTGACTCTGTATTTCACCAAGGACGTGGAAAAGCAAACTTGTTGTTTTTCCTTCCCATTAGATTATGCCTGGAACGGAGCCACACATGACTTCACTGGCACTATTTAGTCTTCAGTTTTAATATTGTATTTGATAAAAGGGAGAAAGGGAGCGTGGAGGGAGCCGTATCAGTAATCATCTACTGTAGTTTTATCTGAATTTGTCACGCACTCCAAAAGTTGTCTGGCTGGCTGGCTGCAAGCCTCTCGCTGATCAAGAACAGGATGTTCTGGCAGGGTGAGATAAAACGCTGTGCAGGGAAAGGGATCTCCCAAACACTTCCCTTTTGTTCCCACCTGACCTGGAAACATGCCAGGAGTTTGTTGCATTTTTTTTTTTTTTTTTTTTTTTTTTTTTTTTTTTTTTTTTTAGGAGTGCATGGTGAGACAGTATGAAACGCTGTGTTAATCAGCTCTGCCCGATCGGCATTAGATACGGAGGCACATTGGTGCCAAATCTTCAGGCGTGTACAGACTGAGATTTCAGCAGGTTCACTGCAGCCACACTGAGCGACATGGATCTAATAAACTTGGTTACGACATTAATTTGATATAGGCAACAGACAATGATGACACCTACTGAATCGTATCCTATGACGCCAGTTAATGTGCAAGAATAAAAATATAACCCATCTGTGCTGTTTTAATGGTAAACAATGGTGCTTAGCAACGCGTTGATGGAGTGCGTCGTTTCAGGCTGCGTTCCGATTGGTTGGTTAGTAGATGTCAGTCGTAGCAGCAGTCACGTTGTCTGTCAGAATTTTGTCACGGTGACGCAACTTAAGATAGCCTGCTATCTTAAGTTGCATCACCGTGACAACAGCCATCTTTGAACCACCCTGACAGTGCGACACAGGACCAACGTTTTGGAGCCACGACAAAAGACATCACCACGTTTCTGTCACGTTGGTCACCGTTCATCTAGGATGACCCAAAACCACACAGTGATTACCTGCCTTTAACCGGCATGTATTTGTGGTAGCTAACTGTTTATGCCTCCAAACATTCATATGGAATCAAGAATGAGCTGATGAGAACTTGGTGGTCGAAGGTCAAAGGTCAAGGTCGCACACAAAACACATGTTTGGCCATAAGTCAAGAATTCATACGCTAATTATGAGAAGATACACTTAATACCTTTTATTAAATTCCTTCAAAGTCTTCACTACATTTATTATAGGAGTCTGGACAGACATGGATATAAACTACAGCCACAAGGTGGTAATTCTTGTTAAAAATGTAATTTTTCTTTATATTAAATCCTACTTTCTCTGCTTATGCTTATTAGTTTTAATGTGAATGTTTTTCACCTTTAGCCAGGTTTACACAGAGGAAACTGCATCAGTTGAAAACCAGAATAGTTAAAGTGTCTGTTTATTATATGGAACAATAATTAAAACAACTTCCAGGCAAGCAGGTTGAAGAAATACTCAGCAGAGCAACATCACAGCTGCAGTAATGTGTAGTCAAAAGCTTAAAGTACTGTGATGCTAGAGAGATGTTTCACCTGTCCAAGTTGTATAGTTGTATAAAATAAAATAAAAAAGCATTTGAGGTAAAGATACTGTACTGTTTGGATTTGAGGTATGTCTTGACCCCCTGTCGTGATGACTGTACTACACTGATTGTCATGGCTTAGGTAGAGAGACCCACCCCCCCACCCCGCAAGATGTAATTTCAACAGTGGGCTCGGTCCTCTGTGATTCCCATTCAAACGTACAAAACCAGATTGTGGAAAGATAGTATCACTAGGTTTACTGAGGAAAAGGAAACATTGCTTTTTCACTGCTTTCCATGTCATCAGTGGCACAACTTCATTATGATTATGCTTTCACTTCTAGAAGATCGTCCTGGGCTGTCATGTTTTTTTTACCTCTTTTGGGTTGTATATAGAAAGTGATAGGTTCATTGGACCGCATCAGTCGATATATCGGGATCTACAAACAGTCAAATTTATTACATTCATCAGGGTGTATCATCTCAGTTTTAAGGGGCACCTGAGAAATAGAGATAACATGTTCTAGGTCTGTTTACACTTCTTTAAAGTCACTTATTATTTCCAAGATTTAAACATATTTAGGTAGCAGGTCAACAAATACTCAAATCCAAGACTTTACAGTCAGTGCATTAGTCTCCCATGCTGAGACAGCAATTAGAAGCAATTAGATGAGTCTACAAAAAAAAAAAAAAGAGACTACCCCAAGTGTCCCAAATACATGAATATTTCTGTAAATAGAATAACATGAGTAGTTTGGTTACTGGCATCTTGAGTATGGAAATTACATGATGGGTTAAAAAAAAAAAAAAAAAAAGGTTTTCCATAGAGCAGCATCCTACAACATTCAAACTGTAACAACACCTCTGTGAGTGACAAAAAAAATAAAATAACACTGATCTAATATTCATCTTTTCATAGGACAGCAGTTCACAGACACAAACAGTACTTGCAGCAGGTGTGGTGTACCCTTTACACCCTTTGCCTTGTCCTTTCAAACAGCATCTACAGCAGGTTTGAGAATATATTAATGACATGACTTTAAAAAGCTTTCTAGTTAAAGGGCCTTATTCCTGAGTAACTACACATTCACACTATATATCACAAACTAGACGTTAGTACTGAACGGTTTGTTAATAGACATCAGGCTTAAGGGCTGAAGTACTCCATGAGCTTATTCACTGACCTTAAATGGTACATTGCTTTTGTCACATAAAAATCTTGTAACACCAGTTTTGATTGTTTACTTACTGTATGTACTTACTGTACTATATCACATATCGTTTTTGTTTTGTAGAGTTTTCTATGGCATTAAAAAGGTGTTTGGAACCTTTATTAGGAAAAAAATTAAATTAAATTAAATTAAATGGTGGGATTTACATTTAAGGGATTGTTGAAAAGCCGACATTTTGGAGATACTTTTTTTTTATACATTTGACAGAGCATGACAACACTATGATGTCCCTACTGAATGGCAATCACACTAAAGTCACAGGGTTGTGTTACAGCAGCAGCAGCGGCTATGACTCCTGTAACAGCAGTGTTGCCTGTACTGAGGTCTGGTTGAGGCTGTTTGCTGGTGATGTGCAGCTGACTGCAGTCCTCCCCCTCGATGAATCAAAAGAAGATGCTAGTTGCTGAGTGGTTTGTCAGGTCGTGTTTGATGTTCAAAGAGATTCATCACAGGTGACCTGCCCGTCGTGTGTGTGTGAGACGCACAGCACCGCGCCGTGTCTCCTGCGAAACAGACGCCTGTCTGTTTCCGTCTGGCACCATAATACTTGGAAATAAGTCAGTAATCAGTCATTCTCGACTCTGTCATGTTACGCATTTAAAACAATATGTAAAGGGTAAGAATTCAGCCTGAGATTGCAGCTTATAAATATAGTTTTCAGCCCACAAACATGAGCTATGGTTCATAAGTCTTTTGTGTTTCAGCCTTCATTTTTTCTGTCTTTTTAGTTGTTGTTGTTGTTATTGTAGCTTTTATTGTATTCAGTCTGAGGAGTTCTCACCCTTCACCCCCTCACCAATGTCCTGCCTGGTAGCTCCATCCAGCAGCCTCGGATGTTCACGCAGAGACACCGCTATGGAGAAGGGGTGAGGTTTTAAAGTCAGACCGTAGTTGTAGTCTAGTGTGGGCGGCCTGGCCGGTTCTGCGGTTATGTGGCACTGGTGGGCGATGACGGCGGTGAAAAGGAACAGCTGCAGCTTGGACAGCTCCTCGCCGATGCAGCGCCGCTTTCCCAGGGAGAAGATGAGCACGCTGCTGGTCAGGTCCTTGTTCAGCGCTCCGTCCTCCTCCAGGAAGCGCTGGGGGTCAAAGGTCTCCGGGTGGGACCATATGGCCGGGTCGTGGTTGATGGACCACTGGCTGATGAAGACGACCGTGTTCTTTGGTATGGTGTAGCCCATGATGGAGGTGTCCGCGGTGGTGGAGTGGGGGATGGTGAGAGGGACGAAGCTGGTGAAGCGCATCACCTCGTAGATGAAGGCCATGAAGTAAGGGAGCTGCGGCTGGTCCTCCATGGAGGGGAGGCGGCTGCGGTCCACCACCTTGTCCACCTCCTGCTGGAGACGTACCTGCATCTCAGGATACCTACAGGTGACAGGTGAGCATGTTTAAGGTGAGGATGATGGAGGTTCCATTCATCTCTTCTTCATATCAGCTAATGAAGGTGTAAGTGAGCACGCATGTACAGATATTTAGAGAACATGCACCGTGTCATCTGATCTGAGGACCAAATTTAATGTCCCTTCATCGGCCAACTTTCTGCAGGGGTAGAATCCCTATCTCTTCCTTTAAAACCTCCGGGTGTTGTGTTACAGCTGCCTGCTTATTTGTTTAATCCCAGGCACTGATGAGATTAAACAATCAAGCAAGATTAGAAAACGAACTCCTGTCAAATCTGGCAAAGATCCTGCTACTTGTGTGGTGGACACGCTGACTGAGCACTTGATTCCCCACCACTGGTGTGCAGTTTCACCTGTTTACATCTTACTGCCTCTGTGCCTCAGCTCCTCCACTACACTGTTACATAACAAATGCTGCTGAACTTCCTCAAGTCTGGACAGCTTCAGCAGCAGGATGAGGGCTCACTCTGATTTATTATCTTGTGTTATTTCCCATGATAATCTATATAGGCTATTATTTATGCTTGTAAAAGGCCAGGTCATTAAAATGAGAGGAAAAACTGCTTACTTGACAAGTATGAGGATGATCCACTGCACTGCAGTTGACAGTGTGTCTTGACTTGCTCCAAATATATCCCCAACAGTGGGGGGCACGTAGTCCTTCCCTGGTGGGAGTCCTGTTTTGTCTCTTAGCTGGTCCAGCGCCACTATAAAGGCGTCTGTCATGTCCCTGATGGTGCTGGACTGGATTGTTTTTCTGTGCTGAACGACCTTATCTCGGATGAAAATGCCAAACTCCAGGTTGAGCTTCTTGAAGTTGTCAAATATGGTTTTGATGGGGTTGGGGAAGTACTGGAGCCAGGGCATCACGTCCACGATGCTCCCTGCCCCCACTGTCTCGGTGAACTGGTCGTTCCTGCCCACCACCTGCCTAAACTCCTCGTCCTCATAGGAGTACCTCTTCCCAAAGCACACCGCGCTCATGATGTTCGCCGTGGACACCACGAGATACGTCATGGGCGGGAAATACCGGTGCTCCTTGGTTTTCCCCACAAACAGCTGCAGCAGCTCCTTGATCTCGCTCAGGACGTGATGCTCGAATGTCTTTTTGGTGTGCGGGTTCCCGGTGGAGAACATCCTTACCGTGGACTGGGCCACTTTGCGGTGCAGCTTCCACCAGTCCGTGATGGTGCCAAACGCGAGGCTGTCCCCGTTGGAGACGTACTGGAAGGAGGTGAAGTCCGGTCTGCCGGCAAAATCCGGTCCCTGCTTTATCAAAGCCTGTTTGATGGAGTCCCCGTTCAGCACCACCACGGCCCGGCAGCCCAGTCTGATCTGGAAGACGTTGCCGTATTTCTTCGCCATGCGCGCAAAATACAAGTGCGGCGCCTTGCCCAGTTGCGCAGCGTTCCCTATGACCGGCCAGGCGAGAGGACCGGGCGGGCCGGGGAGCGACCGCTGCCGGAGCCACCGCCACAGGTGGAGGGAGAACAACAGAGTCACACATGCCAGCAACAGAGCTCTAGGAGTCGCTGGGTCAATCTCCTGCAGTGCCACATTCATGATGGAGATCCTGCAGGAGGAATGTGACAATAATATTTATATTAAACGCACATATTATTAAAGGTTGCAAATATAAACGAGTACAGGGTGTTCATTGAAAAAAATCAGGGGGTGATTAATTACCTAGTCATGTCCTTGTTTCATCGAAAAAAATCACAGCCTTTATTTACCCGAAATATTTAATGCTGCTGATTTTGTGTCGAAAAAAACAAAAAAAAAAAACAAAAACAAAACTTCAAATCCACCTCAAATATGTATGAACTGAATCCATAGGCTACATTTTAACTGTGAGAAATATCTGGTTATTAGTTTCAACTATCTTCCCTGAGCAACAGATCCTCCATCCAGAAACCAGTCAGACACACACAGAGAGAGCAGCCTGTTGTGCATCCACAGACAGCGTGTGAAAGCAGTGTGTGTGTGTGTGTGGGTGTGTGTGTGTATATATGCGTGTGGGTGTGTGTATGTGTGTGAGCTCTCTGCTCTCTGTCCGCAGCATGCCCATGCTTTGAAGCCCCACAGCGGCGCGTCAAGTCATTTATCCCCAAAGAGCGCAGCATCACGGCCCGTCAGCGCCTGTATATGCCCGAGCCTTGTTACAGTGGGCAGGTTTGTTGCAAAGGGTGTCACCCCACACTCCCACCACCAACTCCTCCTCCACCCACCTCTCTCTCTCCCACTGCCTCCCTCCCTCCCTCACCTACTCACAGGCAACAGGCGCTATTGTAAAGGCAGCGTTTCAACTCTAGTTGTGAAAAGCTGAGAAAAGTAGCTTAGTTAACAAAGTCACTATTATTATTATCATTATTTATTTATTTATTTATTTTCATGCGGTGGAGATATAGGCTTATTAGTAGAATTATCAGAATAAGCTACTTACACATGTGCATGCTGTTAAAATGTTAAAACATAATACGACTAATATTAATAATAGGTGAATAATATATTATATAACATATTATAATATACAATATTCTATTCTATTTCTATTCTATTCTTACTATTATTATTTTATTATTATTATTATTATTATTATTATTTATTATTATTATTATTATTATTATTATTATCATTATTATTATTATTATAGGCTATAGCCTAGTTCTTATACCCTATACTATCAGTTTGAATATTTGTGTCATTATTTTTTATGGCTTCCTCATCAAGGCTCGGAGTCAAAGCGCTGGTAAGAACGTGCGTGCCCGCCTGAGGGGAGGTAATACCCGACAGTTCAAAGTTTTTAACATAAATTACACAGCTCAGATCCAATGTAAACATCCATTTATAATTGCTGCTCTGACGCAGGTGTGACGTCCTATGTTACCATTTAGAAAACAAGCTATAGCTGCTCTATTAAGCTGCGGATTTAAAAGCTTTGTTCTCCTCTCTTTAAGGATGTGCTGTATAGTGTGTCCAGATGAATGCTGATGAACGTGTGTGCAACCTTTAAAACAGCACATCTAAACATTACACGCACGGCAGTGATGCTCCTGCGTGATAAATATAGAAACACTGGCTTCGCCATTGATCAAATATACAAAGGCTTTTTTTTTGTTTGGTTGTGTTACAAAGTACAAACAGGAATCTGAACTCCTTCCACCTCCAGAAATGATTCTCTATTTTTTATTTATTTATTTATTTATTTTTTTGAAGTGAGAACAGAGGTCTGTAACCTATTCATAGGCTATAAAGTTGCTTTTTGTGCAACTGTTTGCTGTATTTCCTCTGATGCCACAGTCTGAAGTTGTTTTAACAGAAGTGAGGTTGCGCTTTCCCATGAAGCCACCAGGAGGAGGCGAGCCCCGTGCTGTAGCCAGCCTCATTAATTCCCCCTAATTAACAAACATCGGATCTGTCCTGCAGGACTCATTATAGACCTCTGTATTTCCCTTTAATGCTGCTGTAACACTGGATATATGAGAGAGTGTGGAAACGCGCCACCACAGATTGATCAAGATTGATAATCAGCTGTTAATCACGTGTTATAAATTTATTTGTTTTTTATTTGATAATAATCGATGTTGTCCCTCTCTGCTCTGCCGGATGAGACGAGCCTCACTGCCAGAATCGGAGCCTCAGACCTGCCTCTTCCTTTTTTATTTCTTATCCGAGTGTTTGGATGTGCGTTTTATTCATTCTGCAGATGATATCTGAGTCTCTGTCCTCTGCTCGGCCCCCCTGCTCAGATCAGGTCGGGTCTGGTCGGGTCTGGTCTGGTTGTGATGTGATGTGATTCGGGGATCCAGCTTCAGCACCGCGGACAGCGGCTCAGATAAACCCGGTGCTGATGCCCTCTGACCCTTAACTGCTCCTCTGAGCTGCTCCTTTTACTTTTAACACAAACTCCCGCCACATTTAATTTGATACCACTCTTTTTTTCTTCTTCTTCTTTTTTTTGGCTAAAAAAAAAGTAATAAAAAAAAAAGTCAGGTTTACTAACTTGTGTTTTATGGGTAGACCCTAAGCAGAGGAAGATAATCAGAAACACTGAGGTATTGAGTAAAAAAATAATATATTTAAATATAATACTATATTGTAGTATCCTGCTTAATTCAGCACATAAAATGCTGGCCTTACTGTACTTAATGTATGGCTTTATGTGTACCCATAGTCTTCAAATGATGCAGTGCAGCTGGTCTGCAGAGTACCATATGAACAATATATATATTTAATTTAAGGCTCATGCTTTTTAAGTCTATGTTAGACCCTCCTGTGACCTTATAGCTTCATTATCAATAAAGTATCTAAGCATTTAAAACAGTACCATATTTGGCCTTTATTGTTTTTCTTGATAGCAGAAGATCATTTATGATGCATTTAAATCTAAAAAATCTAAATAGAACTATATTAATACAAATGTTTAATTCCAATATTTTCAGTGAAAATTGTATTCCCTGTTGAAATTCTGAGACTAAATATATTTTGGCAAAGTAAATGAAAAACACAGACACTTACTGAATCATGGCCCTCTGATAGTTCTCCCCTGGATGAACCTCTGACAAGGTGATCCTGTGTGATCTTGCTTTATTCCAGCAGGGAATGGATCCATGAGGGTGGAGACAAGCTGGTGAATGAACAACTGGTCCCAGCCTCCTTTACTGGCAGCACCCAGTTATTAGACCAAACCCCAGCACGTCCCTCTGCCTTTTAAAAAAAAAGCAAATCCTCTCATCTGGTCTAATAAATGTAATTTTGCAGACAAGTTACTATCTAAATTATTATTATCTGTAGCTGATAATACATGAAGTGATGGGAATTGGCAAATATAATATGCATGTTTTTGGTTTTGTTTTTTTCTTTTTAAGCAGCCACAGTGTGTGTGTGTGTGTGTGTGTGTGTGTGTGTGTGTGTGTGTGTGTGTGTGTGTGACTAGTGATCCTGAACATCCTGTTTGAATGGCAATAATGAATTCAGCTTCACAGTTTAATCCATAAAAAAATAAAAACAACCTCCATTCTATTATCCCCGATATTAATCAATATCCCAAGACCTTCATATTTTCATTTATTGGAAAAAAATAAAATAAAATCAGAGATAACATTAAAAGGAAATACATAAAATAAATTCATTAAAATAAAAGTAATTTTTTCCCAGAGATCTGTCCAATAAAATTCAGATATTCACTTTTTTTCTACTTTTTTAATAACATTAACAATAACATTTTTCCACCATTGTCAACTGTTTAGTTTGAGATAAACCATTAGACCACTGTTGCAGGGTTTTTTAGTGGGGCCACAACCACATATATTTGCATGAGGATGCACATATTTGAAATTTATCTTTATCTTTATCTTACCATTTATAGATATCAGTGCAGTTTCATGCATAGACTCAATCACACTAAGCTCAGTCTCTGTTAAATATAGCCCTTAAACTCCACATTTGTTTGTGTTTGGATGTCAAGCCTTTGAGGTAATCCCCCTCAAAGGTGCAGTGAGGTGAGTTTACCTATAGAACAACCTGTAGGGTAAATGGGCCCACACAGTGGCCTCTGCCTTGGGCCCCCAAAGCTCCTCACTGCGCAGTTTCAACACCAGTTTCCTTTCCTGCTTGACTGACAGCTCAATTGCTCATCGCGTGTGAGTGAACATGGAGGTCAGGGAGGAGCTCAGGAAGGTGTGTACAGGTGATGATTTGCTCACACAGTAAAGGTACAGTTACATTGCAGAGTTCCAACCTGGCAGGGCAGTGATCACATCTGATTCTAACAGCATTTCTCACATTCAGAGCATAGTTTTGTATAGAAAAAAAATCAGAGTAAGCTGTATCAAGAAGTTATGTCACCTGCAAACAGGAATGACACACGAAACGGGCCATTGCTTTGATTTATGTCCGGAATTAGTGGAAGCATGCACAGGACCTCGGAAGAGCTGCACGCTGTCTACAGCACTTACAGGGCTTATCTTCCTCTTTGAATCAATGCTGTGAACTTCTGGGGAAAACAGAGCAATGGAGGGGACTGCCCAAGGCTGTTCTAAAGGTGCAGAGCAGTCACGCACATGTGCTTCATCATAGGGGTGACAACTGAGGGGAAAGCCTCTGACAACTTCACTAAACACAGTTCTACCCTCTGTGTGCTCGTCACGGTTAGGCACTGAAAAGAGCTGCTCACACACTTAGACTCAGTTCATTCAAGTTATAGTTAGATTCTGATTCTATAATGAGTTAAAGGAAAATGTTTAGAGAAATTTGTAATTTGACAGATAGACCTGATGGAATTTATTGACAAAAAGACAAACCTGAAAATTACATATTTTTTTTGTTACCTTTAATTTAATAACAAACACAAGCCTGTATTCTGTTAATATGTTGAGATTAAGAATGATAGATTTTTTAATTCATTGATGTACTTAAGTCCAGTGAAAGAACATGAATACAGGGTGTATACAATAGCTTGTTCCACCACGGAGAGAACCACAGACCGGAACAGTCTGGACTCTGAACTGAGATTGCCTTGTGTGCAGGGGTGGACATTCCTTGGAGGAATACAGTGGTCCAGAAGGAACATATGGCTGTATGATTAAGTTCAGGCTGCTGCATTCTGGACCATCTGCAAGGCTTTCACTGTGCATGATGGGAAGCCTTCAGTAGTCTAGGTGAGAGATAACCACGGCCTGGACCAAGACCTGGGTGGCGTACTGAGTCAGGTAAGGCCTTGTTTATCTGATGTTGTATAGAGCAAAGCGGAGCGACCAGGGGCGGGTGCAACAGAAGTGCCAAACCATTGTGCATTAGTC